AAAAAAATTGTGCACAAATGCGGTTTACAGCTTTCGAAAGAGTGAATCTTTACCTTCAATTTGTTTTTTCATTGAGCTCTGTACGATATTTTTTGACCGAGTTATTCAACGTTTAAGTAAAAATGGCCTTTTTACATCAACATTAAATAATTCGGTGAAAAAAAAATTGTACAGAGCTCAACAAAAAAATAAATTAAAGGTAAAGATTCACTCTTTCGAAAGCTGTAAACCGCATTTGTGCACAATTTTTTCTTGGCTCCGTGGAACTTGGCAAATTTTGTAAAAAATTTTTAGGTTTGACACACTTTTATTTATGATTGTGCAACTTCACGAAATATCAGTAAGACCGTCTTTTCAAGTACAGATCTGAAAAGTAGAGATTTTAAACTTTAAAATGCTTTTTTAATCATCTCGATACGATGATTTTTCACAAAAATATTCTATCTCAAAGTTTGCCTATTTTTGCAGAGTGGAACAAGTGATCCTTTAATTTTGTTGAAAAGTGTATTAAACTGGATAGTTGAGAAGCAAATGATTGATGTTTTTCCAAATGTTTACATAACGCTTAGAATATTTGTAACTATACCAATAGCAAATTGTGAAGCAGAAAGAACATTCTCTGTTCTTAAAAGAATAAAAAATATGTACAGAACAGTGATGTTGGACGAACGATTAACATCTTTAACTGGCTTAGCAATCGAATCTGAATTGCTAAAGGCCATCACACGTACAAAAATTTTAGTAGTAATCGTAAGGTCTTAAGCAAATCGACCAATCACAATCAAGATTAAGATCTCACATTTTAATACGCTAAACTGTGATGGGCCTTCTACAATAAGCCATAAGTCATAAATCAGAAGTCAGAAGCTAGTTGCAAGCGAGTCAGTAATGCGTCATAAGATAGTAATAAGTCGGTAGTCCGTGACCGAGTGGAGATGGCCAAATTCCATCTCTTCTGACTTACAGCTTATGATTACGTTATGACTGACCAATCAAAAAGCAGTATGTGTCTGCCATTTCTTACGAGAAAACCGATTTCGTATAACCTAAAAACTGAATCGAGAATATATTTTGATCGAAGTGATTTATATCGTATTAAAAATGGAATATGAATGTATACAAGAAATTTATGACATGGAACTCATCAAACTTGTCGAATTTAATTGTTGAATCTAATTACTGAACTGTTATGATGCAACGATCTAATACGACTTATTGTAGATGCAAATCCTTAAGATTTATGACTTATAATTGTGACTTAACACTTATGTCATGTGAGTAATGACTTATGGCTTATTGTAGAAGGTCCATGATTGGCCAATTTGCTTAAGACCTTACGATTACTAAAATTTTTGTACGTGTGATGGTCTTAAGATCGATTGATTTTAATAATTTAGTACAAGATTTTGTAAAATTAAAATTAAGAAAAAAAATTTTAACTAAAGAATGTATTAATTTATTTATTTGTCTCTAATCTTTATATGATTCAATTTTAATGTTTATTGTTTTAGATTAAATAACCTAATTATACTGCTTTACGTATGAACGTGTCATTCTTTTTTTTTTTTTTAAGATTGAAAAGAAGGGCCCTCTAAAGTTAAATAGCCCCGGGCCCCTCAACTCTTTAATCCGGGCCTGCTTGGCAATGGCATCCGAGAAGACCTGTGATTGTTCTTGTGACGAGAATTCAGCCGGCGTCGACTTTCTTTTAGAACTTCTAATCAACGCCCAAATTCGACTAGAGGGAGTTCTAGAGTCAAAGCCTTGCACTAATTTGCGCCATCCAGCGCGTTTCTGCTCCGTGAGCTTCTTGTAACAGGCAATACGAGCTGCTCTAAACTAGAATTACTATAATCAGAGTTAAGACACATGGCCGGAAGGACGCCATTTATAAGTCTAGCCAGAAGTGATTGTGCGCGCGGTTTTTCGAAACATGAAAATCGAAAAATGAATCTCGATATAGGAATAGAAAATAGAACCATTAATTGTTAAGTGAATGATGTTAAGTGACAGGTTCTTTAACGTATCAGTTAATTCGTTATTATTTATATTTAACTATTTTCCAGCAGCACAGTATGCGCCACAAGTCTTTCATTAAGTAACCATTTCATTAAGAAATATTTGTCTTTACAACAATATGTAAAAAGTTGTTAATAAATCATAGAAAAAGCAAAGATTTTGTAAATTTTTTACCTGGACTCACTTTGGGACTCTCTATGACCCTTAATTCCTAATTCCTCTTATTCGTACAGAATTGCGGAAATGCAGCAGTATTTCGTGAATAGAAAAGGAAACCAATGTATGGAACGTGGATGAACGGATAGAAAAATGGAGAGTAATCAATAATTTCGGAACATTTTTATTGTTTTCTTTTACATGTATATTATGTGTTTGATATATATATATATATATATATATATATATATATATAAAGCTCTTTATGATCAAATCGAAATGAATTCCTTACAGGCGACCAATAAAAATACCTGCTCAGCATTTTTTGTTCTTCAATGACCAACACAGAAAATTTCCAAGACATTTTTAGAAGAATTTGAAAATGTCATGGAATTTGGGAATGTAGTGATAATGTCTGAAAGAAGAAATATAATGTCTTAGAGGGAAGCAGACTCGTTTGAAATCTACGGGCTTTACAAAAATGTTACTAGTTAAATAACATCATTAACAATTATTTACACCGTATTTTCTCAAAAAGATTTGTACATTGTTAAATACAAGCACACAACCAATATATAAAGTAGTTAACAAATTATTATCTGTTTATTGAAATAAATTCTGAAGCATATAAACAAATTAATGCTTTTCTATTTGAAACAAAATAAATTATATTTTTGATAACATAAACGACACGTAATAATAACATCATAGCCGAACCAAACACATGCGCAATCATTAAAAAAATAAATTAGTTATATAATTATATTCATGTAGGTTATAAGAATGTTGCCGTCAGCAGAACAGGTGTTTAAGGAAACTCCATGCAATTACTTATGCAAAAACAAATAATTAATACGTCATGCTCTTAGGGATTATATCACAGACGATTATACTTGAAAAATAATGGAATCTTACTACATTTTCCTATTTGTAATTGCAACCTGCCGTTAAGCTTTCTGAGGTTATTGCAACTGAGGGAGAACGTACTTGTAAACTTGCAGTTAAACATGGAAAAATGTAGTAGTAAAACATTATTTCGTAAGTACATTAAAATTAACACTAACGCACCAAGATTACTTAATTTTATATTGCATCGCCATGCTTTTGCTACTATGGATTGCAGCGTTTTGTGGGTGGGCTTTCGACGAAATTTTTAACCGGAATATTATAAAACGCGGAATAATTTTTGACTTTATATCATGACAAGTAGGCAAAGGCGCAAACAGGATTTCTTCGCATTTTTTAATCAAAAAAGATTTCAAATTGACGTTCTGCTGAAGTCTAAGAACGCTATAGTACGCCCTAAACAATTTCTCCATAGATAGGAAAAAGGTAAAAGCATTTTCATTAACAAAAAAAAGTGTTTCTCGCTTGTAGCATCGAATGCTAGTTAATTTACTGTAAGCTAAAGGATGTTCAGTTTTTGAACCAATCGATGCAATGTACTCTTCACATATTGCTTGACTCTTGGTAATACTTGCAACAAGATATCCAGTAACGTTGTAAAGAGTACAAAGTTCCAAATGTTTCAAGCTGATGTCAGTTATCTCAGGTATTATAATTTCAACAGTCGACGGAGTTTATTCAGAACGCTCTACATTCCGGCGCTCTCGCAGAACGGTTAAAAAGTCTGGCAGATACAATCGGTCATCTGCCTGATAATTTCCTGTTGGTACTGGCTTCATATATTGTGAAATTGTTATAGACTTTAAATTATATTTGAATTGTAAAGCATCCGGTTTACTTTGCCTACTGCGTAACACACCGAACAAATTTTCGATACAATCTTGCGTGAAGCGCCCGAATAACACATATTCGTAGCCCCGTTCGCCAATTAAAAAATCTGTTATATCGATTGCGGACAACGTGGAAATTACAATCTTGGATTGGAACGGCTTCCAGTTTCCTTTTTCCCCGATACGAAGAGAAATAAACAAATCTACTACTTCGCGCAAAAATTCTATCGTCTCAGCATACTTCGACGGTTGCAAACAACCTACAGCTAATTCGAGTCCGCGATTCGTTATAATTTGAAACCATTTACAAATGGTCTCAACAAACCACGCGGTAGTTTTGAATTTTGGTGCTTCAACTTCGTCAGCCAACAATAACAAAGCTGAGCTGACGTCGTGGCTGAGTACGTTGAACGCATTTCCAACTCGCATTTTTAGGAAATGTCTGTTCTTTTCCAACAATTCTCCTTTTAATTTATGCGCGGGCTGTAACTGAAGGTCCTTCTGTTCAGAAATTAATGTTTAAAAATGGTCAACGGAAACTATATTCGATGGCAAATTATATTTGTCAACGAATTTATCCGGAATTGTAATGAAAGAATTACTGAGAAGGCCTTCTTTCAAGTTTTTTAATGCATGGGGAGCATCGTGGAAAAAGAAAAGCTTTCTATTTTTGTCACATGGATGAATGCAGTAATAATAATTCTTACAAAATCTGCCAGCATGAATACCGAACTCCCGCCACATGATCTGATTGGCAGATCCCATATCACAAACTACAGCATGAACCGAATATCTAATTTCTTCCGCGCGTCTAATTATTTCTTTTACAATCGGTACAAAAGATGTGCCATCCACGCTATTCCCGGTATAATAATAAGCGACGGTTTGCTTCCAACGATGCGAGATGCCAGCAAGCATAAAAACTAATCCATGCGTACCCGTACCTGAGTGACCTGGCAAAGTAACGCTTCCGATCATTGCACCGACAGCCGGGTCGTATTTCTCACCAGGAGCTATACTCATTTCATCCAGAACGACGATACAATCCCTATGGATATCATTTTGGAATTGTGAAGATTTAACTCGTAAAAATTCAAAGACTTCGTCAAAAATACCGCTTTCAAATTTCTACGATTCTAATTTCCTTGTCAATGTCCGCAAGGACGGTAAAGGCCAACCTTCTTTCAATAAATGAGTATAGCCTGAGGTCCCACACGAGAACTTCATCTGATACGCTTTGACCAGAGTTTCGTCAGACCACTCGTGGACTATTTTCGCCCCGTTTAAAAGCTTTAACTGATCGGAGCCTAATATTTTTGTAATACCGTTAGATTTTTTTACGTTCGCGGTGGTATCCTGCAGCTGCTGTATCCTCTTGCGAAGTTTTCGATTTTCCCCTTTCATCCGTTTCTTTATACTGTGACTCTTCTGGATAATCTTGTTCGCTATCTCCAGGTCCTTGTTTACCTTCTTCAGGTTCTTGTTCGTATTCTCCAGCTGTTCCCGCAATGTCCTGATTTCTTTGGCCCATTTATTAAGATCTTCTTTTTTCGGCTCTGCAAAAAGGTAGCAATTACAAATTTGGTAGTTCGTTCAAAGAATTTCAGTTTACGCTAATATCATTTCAACTGCATTAAATGTACCAAACACTGAAAGCGTATACTGTAATGTTAATATCACATATTAATTTCACTATTGCATTCTGTTATGTCCCAATTTAAACAATTAAAATTTAAAGACAAAATAGAGATAAATAATATTCATAAATTTCTCAGTATAATCTGTTTGCATTAATAGCTTTTAAAAAATACATTTTTTATACCGTTTGTTAAATAAATTATTGATTAAAATATTGTCAGCACCTAAATTCTCGTGTTTACCAATTGTTGGCTGAAGCTCATCCAGCTCGTCCGTTTCTACCTCCACACCGCAGACTCCCACATTGCAGATCGGCTCCAGCTCATGCAAAAACAAGACCAGTATAATAAGTACTTTTCATTAAAACTTATCAATTAATCGTTTGTTTGTTATACACATTATTTACAAATTACTATACTTGCCCAGAAACATTCTGATTTTATTAAAATAATATTACACTTACAATAACGGAAATCTTATCGCTGATGATAATTTCCTTGGTTGCCGGCACTTCTAAAAAACAGAAATAGATATTATGGACACTTATTTCAAATGCATGATATTGTAGGATATCATAAAATACATACCAACCAGTTCTTCCAAATTTGCTGGAATAGCGTCAACAGCATTTTTTGTTGTCAGTTGATTACAACTTTGCATTCTGAAGTTGCGGACATCAGCTCGTGGAAAAATTGTAGGGATTGCATGTCCTTTTAGTTTTTTTTTTCCATCTTCACGCACCTTCTCCCACATTTCAGGAGCAAAATGTATCTGAAGTTAATAAAGACTCAATATATTAATTTAGATTTTATGTATTTTTATAATACTATTTATAATACAAATTTGATATGCAATAATAATATATATTCATCATACCTCACATAGAATGCAATTTTTCGTTGGTATCCAATCCTCCTTTGCAATATTCCGGACCCATATTTCTTTCCGGTTTGCATCTTTAGGGAAGTAGCAGATTTTTATTCCTTTTGAAGTCTTTGCCTTGCATGCGATGCACCACCCCATAATTTGCAGAAACTTATGAAATACACATTATGTATTATGCAGAGTACATAAAACAATCTTTTCATTAAATTGTAATAAATATTAAGTTTTACATGTCTCTCGAGCGTGTCCAAAATTTTTACGCCGATCTTTAAGAATTACAAATAACTTTTCAGGTAATTTTTTTTTTGCAGAAATATTTTTTAACTTAGTAGCCACCGAATAAGTGATTATGGATAAATTCTGCCGCTAGGAAGTATTTAAAAATAAATGCAGAAGTTATGAATTACATATATGGCAGGATAGATATATAACAGGTATAGGTTCTCTAACCTGTCATTTAATACATAACTTATGCATCTATTTTTAAATACTTCCTAGCGGCAGAATTCATCCATAATCACTCATTCGGTGGCCACTAAGTCAAAAAATATTTCCGTAAAAAAAATTATCTGAAAAGTTGTTTATAATTTTTAAAGATTGGCACAAAAATTTTCTCGGTTTTCGTTCGCCTCTGAACACGCTCGAGGGTCCTTAAATACGCTTTTAACAATTAATCACAAATATGAGTAAATAAATAAAAATAAAACATATTCTAAATAAATATTTAATGGAATTCATACAAAGCCTTTTTCGGTAGTTCTTCACAATTCTGACAACTTCTGACAGATCAATTTTGGCGCTAAATCAACTACTGAATAACTTATACACACAAACAAAAGATGATATTCACCTATTCACTGTTATTCAATACCGTTATCAAACTATGAGAAAATGGCGGCGGGGCTCTCAACCAATCAGAAGTTGAACCGCATGTGTCTTAACTCTGATTATAGTAACTCTAGAGTAGAGTAAACTCTTGGTAAAGGTTGATTTAAGCGGGGAGCACAGACTTTTGCATAACGCATAAAGCATGTGCATAAAGAATTTGATTGGTTCATTGACTCATGCATAAGGAAATGGGCCAATGAAATTCCTTATACACATGCTTTATGCGTTATGCAAAAGTGTGTGTTTCTCGTCTTAAGCGGGGAGCACAGACTTTTGCATAACGCATAAACCATATACATAAAGAATTTGATTGGTCCATTGACTCATGCATAAGAAAATGGGCCAATGAAATTCCTTATGCACATGCTTTATGCGTTATGCAAAAGTCTGTGCTCCCCGCTTTATACTGGCCGTAAACTGTTAACTTATGCCGTAATCTGTAAAAATTGACCAATCACAGTCGAATGAGAGGAAAATAATCGATTATAATTGGTCAATTTTTACAAATTACAGCATAAGTTAACAGATTACGGCCAGTATAATCCAACCTTAAGTGTCCTCTGAAGGCTGTAAGAGGAATTTCTGGATTGCAACTTTTCTGAGACGAACAGCGTCAGAGCATTCTTCGTTCCCCCACGGCGGGGGTAGAGAACCTCTAGTAGAGAGAATCGCCAACTTGGTCACATGACCAATTACGTGATTGGCTCATATATGTAATACTACCATATGGCTAGATGAGAGAGAAGTCCATGTCCCAGAACCACGGTGCGGGAATATACTTCTCTCTCTTTCTCAGCGTACTTTGAACGTTGTGCGCATGCGTCGGATCATCCCCTCCATCAATAATAAATAGAAGGATAAATATACATATATGTGTAAGAAAGAAGGAAAAAGTGATTGATTCCGCTTCAGGGTATAACCTTGTTACAGTTAACAGAGTCAGTTGAGTCGGAATAAATAAATTAATCCTAATTTTATGAAATAAACTTTTTCAAGATTGCCGTTATGTATATAAGAATACAGTGCAATCCCTTACAGAAATTTCATGATAATCAGTGCAAACTAATACCTATTTCATACCTATGCAAACTAATGTTTTCAGTCGCATTAGGCGCATTAGGCTTTTTGCCACATAAATAACATATCTTGACCATTTTTGCCTGTGTACAACAGCACACATCTAATAAGCATAACGAGCATAACCTGTTCGCGTCATCTCACTGATCGCACTCTATTTTCCTATTGGCGGATGCAATCAATCCAACGCATACGCACAACACTCAAAGTACTCTTAGAAAGAGAGGGAAATATATATTCCCGCACCGTGGTTCTGGGACCGCTTCCTCTCACTCCCTCTGATAGGCACTAGCCATATAGCAGTATTACATATATGGATTGGCTGGAGGAAATGAGCAGATTTGGGCATTTCGACACCAATGCATGACGTCAGAACACA